CGTAGATCATTAAGCCATTGGGACCTAATCCAATGACCAGCCAGCCCATAAATTCTAACTTCTGCCAATTCACGACATAGCACGACAATATCGCAATGTCTTCTTCGATGAGTTAATGCCTCACCTTCAACCTGCCACACTCTACTGGTCACGGATTTCAACTAGAACCCTAGACAACTGCTTTAATAATGCCAGTTGCTAGTGAGCATCTGATCTGATGCTGATGGGAAGCCGTTACCAGTAGGGTACGGCAGGTTGAAGGTGAGGTAGTAACTCATCGAAGAAGATATTGTGAAAACGTCGCGCTATGTCGTGAATTAGCAGAAGTTAGAATTCATGGGCTAGTTGGGTATTGAATCGGGGTCCCAGTGGTTCAATGGTCTACGAGCTCACTAGCCTTGTAACCAGAAGGTCTTGGGTTCGAATTCCCCTGTGGGGTGGGTGCGTAGTGATGAAGAGTCCCAAACTACGCTGACGAAACAGTTGGCTGTCCAGTCCTCCTTGTCAGGTTTTCCAGTGGTTCTCCAACTGATTTCAGCTCATGATGAAATCGTCCAACCAATCAAACTAAATCCTTACAAAAACCAATACTTGAAAATATTATAGTTTTTGTCGTATATGATGAATACTTTTTTCGTCTATGCGTAGGCGGTGTTCGTGTGTGATGTATGTGTGCGTGTGGGTGTGAGGGGGTTGTTGTACAAACGTGCAGTCTGTGCTAAAATATCGACTCATCACTCAAGTGTAATAATAATAATAATAATCACAATGATGATAATGACAAAATAACCTGAAAAAATGACAGAATTTTATGACCGACCGTTAATTCTCACAACACTTTTTTTTCACTCTCAAGTATCCACAGACGATAAAATGATGTACATTTTTTGAATAATAGCAACAACAACGATAACGACAGTTGACTATGTGTACGTGTGTTTTGTGTGCGTGTGAATGTGCTCAGGTATGCACGTGCGTGTGTTAAATGATTTTTGGTGGTTAATAGTATGGTGCTTGTTCGTAGGTAGGTATGCGTACGTGTGTGCGTGCGCGCGTGTGTGTACGCATGAATGTGCGTGTCTGTTTTTAGGCATTTTGTGCTGTTTTTTTTCAAAAATATTATATCGAACGCACATTATTCACGATAATAGAGAGATAGACAAGTGATAAAATGTTTTGTAAGTTCGATAAAATTTTCTGTCATAGTGTGTGTATGTGTGTACCTTATTCAGTTTGTTGATTGTATTTATGTATAAACGATGTTTTTTTACGTTATGTAAGTACAGACTGTTTTCCTCTAGACAAATGTTGGAGGCGATCGACAGGAAGCTCTGCCTCACCTAGATTTTGATGCTTGTTGTCAATTACCAGTCTGCAATCTGGAAGGAAGTCATGTCTCTTCTGAGATTTAGAAACTGCATCACCCAATGATGCAGTCAGAGACGACTCAATCACTGAGCTATCTAGCCCGATGAGACTATCTTTGCTTCCCAGAGTGTGCTCAATACCTTAGTTAACGCAGACTGTAAAATTTATCCACCACCGCCCTTAAACACCTTTGGGTGCTTCCATCAGGTACCTTTGTTTTGCCTCGTTTCAGACTAGATACAGCTTTTGTAACTTCAGTTAGGGACGTTGGACCTGTGTTTATATCCCACTCAAGGAGGTGTTGAATGCTGGGTAAGTTGAGCATGGCTGTAGGCCAGTTTAATTGCAACTCAAAGTGTTCTTTGCAGCATTTCATTCGTCTATCCTGGGCACTAATTATGGTGCCATTTTTCTCCAAGATTGTTTCACTTATCATTTGCCTTTTGCCACCTGTTTCCCTGATAAGTCTAAATAGTTGTCTGGTGTTACCTATCGCTGATACCTTTTCCATCTTTTTCGCTTTTGTCACCCACCACTATTCATGATCGGTACGAAGACTTCTTGTTAGTTTTTGTTTGAGTAGCTTTCGCTCCTCATCATAAATGGGAGCTCACTGGAATCAGTCTTCTTGAGTGAGTCAATCAGTTCGGATGAGGTAGTAGAAATCCAATGGCTTTTACTTTACAACTGTGTCTACAGCTAACTGTGTATTGTGCTAGACTTCCTCCGGAAGAGTCTTGCTGTCGATCTCAGACACTCGTTTCACTATTTCCTCCTAAAACAGGGATTCAGTGTCCGCCAGTGAGTACTATTTAGGTTGGAAATCCATTTCCTTCTGTAATAAAGTATTGAACACTGATTAGGAACTAGATAGTAACTAAGTGTTGGTGCAGACTGGTTGGTTTCAGTCTGAATGACACTCAACTCTCAGAAGAAACATGAGTGAGTTCCTTCAAGGTAGTTGCAGATACGCCATACTAACTGTGGTGGTAAGTGCCTACTAGCACAAAACCCAGTTCCAAGGCTTCCTGTGACTGATTCCCTCCAACTATCTAATATTAACAATTCACAGTGCTGTGCATCGTGATGTTGAACCATCTAGCTTGATGGTGGTGGTGGCCACATTGCAAACTTGACTGACTGAGAGAATTCAGTCTGCATCAAAGAAAGAACTAGACCGATCAAAGTGGTCCTTGTCTCACTTGTTATTTGTATTTCTCTCTCTCTCTCTGTGTGTGTGTGTGTGTGAGGCTTATGCGATGTGCTGGAGTATAGTATCATTATTATATGTTTTAGACAGTTAGAGATAATCGGCATGGGGAGGCACTGCCCCCCCCTACTCAGGTTTTGTGTTTGTTTGTTGGCACTTGTCGACATGGTTGTCTATATATATATGTGTGTAGTTTTGAAAGGAACACATATCACACAAACACACACCCTGTCAAGGATTCGACTCCACATCATCACACATTGTTGCAGTCAGATATGTTACTACACTGAGCTGTTGGCTTCGGTTATTGGTGTTGATCTGCTTCCCTACCTGGGAAGCATTGTTTCAACTACAGGCGGACGGAACTGACGAGGATATCAAAGCCAGAATCGGAAAAGCAAGACAAGCTTTCATTACTCTTAAGTCTGTGTGGAGGTCAACAGCCCTCAGCATCAAAAATAAGATCCGGATTTTCAACTCCAATGTGAAGTCAGTGCTACTGTACGGATCAAAGACCTGGCGCCTCATAATATCTTTTTTCCTTCACGTCCCCAGTGGAACATAGGGCTTCAAGCTAGTGGCTTGAAGTTTCTGTAGTAGTGTTTATTTTTACAGGATGGGGTTGCTAGCCAGCCTCATGCCCAACTTTTCCTCTTTACCAGCATTATTTTTGGCTTAGCGAGGTAAAGGAGTGCGTCTGTGTGGCCGGGGATCGAACCCCGGACCATGTGCATGGTCAGCGAGCGTCCTAACCGCTGTGCCACCGACGCACGGCGCGTCATGAAGAGTATCTCAAACAAGCTACAGACCTTCATTAACAGTTGTCTTCGCTCAATACTACGCTCAAGATCAGATGGCCGGCCAGAAAAGATCAGAAACAGGCAGGGATCTCTGGCGATGAGCGAAACAACACAGCAGGAACCCATTGTGAAACAAATAGGCATGAAGAAATGGAGATGGATTGGCTGGTCATACTCTGAGGAAAGCATCAATTGACATCACTAGACAAGCCATTGCTCGAGTGGAACCGAGCCGAAAGGGAAGCGGCGAGTTGGCCGTCAGTGCGAGGGTAGGATGACTTGGAGGAGGTCATGTGAAGGAAGAGGAGATGAAAACATGTGGATGTCAGACTTAGAGCGGAGTGAAAAGGTTGGCAGAAAACCGAAGGCAATGGAGACGCACAGCTGAAACCCTATGTTCCTCTAGGAATTAAAGGAAATAATAATAATAATAATAAATACATTGATAGGTAACTTGAGTGTAACTTGACTGATGATAAAATGTACCAAAATGAAGATGATTTTATAATATTTATGAAAGACAATGTTATTTAACCTTCATGAGAGTTTCATCCACTGAAGTGATTGCGATAAGTGTATTTTTTGCATACCCGAGGCAGTCAGGTTTCTTATAGTCCTCCTGGGTGAAGACTGACAAAATGAATTGTCTTCGGAACACTCTGAGAAACAGCAATCTTAGGATGTTTGGCATGAGATTTGCTCCTATCAAATGTAAGGTGATGAAGCTACAGAGCTGGACTACAGTGACTCACTCTTAGCTTAAGGATAGGAGGGAGTGAAGTGGTCGATGGAGCATGTTGACAGCTTCACTCATTTGGGGAGTTCCATCAGCTAAGAGCTTACGGCAGACCGCCGACGAAATCTCACCATGGGGACAGAAAGCTTGTTTGGCATTTACTAGCCAACTTACTCCATCTTTGGCTTATTAGCGTGATATCCGACCGGCTGTCAATCAGGGTGTGTGTTTACTACTCAGCAGCAGTTCACTCCGTCCTCCTTGATGGCTGTCTGTGAGATATGGCCATTGAAAGTAGAAGACATGAAAAGGCGAGCTAGCTAGACAGCTTTGTTCATAGGTATTTGTGTCCCATCTCTCGTGTGTTAGGTTGAGGTTAGGCATCGGTCGTCAAGTGGTAGGTAAGGTGGGGGGGGGTAGATTAATCGACGAAGTTGTGAAGTTTACATCGATTGAGATGGCTAGGCTAGGTGTGTTACGCACACCTAGCCTAGCCATCGCCCTCATCGACGGGTAATGTTTAGGTGACATGGGATGGATAAGGTTGTAAAACAGCCAGCACGTTATGGTTAAAAGAAAACATGGCTTCATCAGTCAATGAAATCCATAACAGTTAGTTTAAGCCAGCCAGCCAGCTAGCTAGCCAGCCACATTGGGAGGTGTGGTTCCTCGTGACGGTAATAAGCAATGGCTGGAGACTATTGGTGATATAGGCAAAAGAATCGTTGTCAATGAATAGCGCAGATTTATAGTGATCGATCTGTCTAACCTTTCCTCTATTCTACTTCATTTAATAATTAGAGGGGGGGAGGGTTAGTTTTTCTTATTATTATTTTGAATCCTTATTGTTATTTGGTTTTTCTGCCTCGTCTATTATTCATCTCAGGTTGATCTCAATGAACATACATCAGGTGTGCATGCAACTACAAATCAAGATCCAAATAAATCTCTTATACCTCCTAGTGCTGTTCAAATTCTACAAGAGGTGAGTATTTTCTCGTATTTCCTTCTTCTATTTGTTTGTTTTATTGTTCAATGATAGGAATGTCCTCTAACATCCACCCGCTCCGCCCCGCCCCTGCGGAATGTACATAGTTCACAGTTCGATTCCCAACTGACACATACTCGAAAATTTCATCTGACCAGTAGTAGTAGTATTAAGAGGGGGGGGGGGAAAGAGAGAGACGAAGACTGAGCCTGTTAGGTTGGTAACTAAAAATTTAAAAAGGCCTCAAAAAGTGTGGAGTGTATGTGTATGTGTTAAAGTGTGTCTTGTAGAGTTCACTTGAGAGTTGAAATCCTTTTTGGAAATCTTGCCATATGACTTATGTATTCGTTTTCATTTCAATCACATCTCCCTCTTCTCCTATCTACCTGCCTACCTGTCCACCTTCCTACCTAGCTAAATATCAATATAGATTTATTGATATTGAACAGATTTTTAATCCTAGTTAAGAGTAGTCTTTAACAGCCTTCAGACATATAATTCTACCCACCCCATCCCAGGCGAATATATAGGGTCTTTAGATTACGTAGGCAAGTTCTTGGATAAGTCATTCAATGAATTTGGATCCAGTGTCTGTTAATGTCGGATACCATGAATTTTCATTCGAGCCTAAAGATATCCACACTGTGCCTCCTAATAATAATAATAATAATAATAATAATAATAATAATAATAATAATAATAATAATAATAATAATAATAATAATAATAATAAGCTTTATTCCAAAACAGTACATGTGATACAGAATGGAATTCTCAGTAATTTTACTACAGTATTACACCCAGTTAGTAAATTAACAATAAAATAAAATTCTACATAGATTAAGGGTAATCTCAGTTAGTTTTGACAACAACATATTGGCGTGTCGGTAGCAAAGCTAAAATTGAACAGAGTGTTTGAAGGTGTTAGAAAAGTAGGTTCTAGCATATATACTGGCGTAAGCAGGAGAAAGAAACAAAGCTGCACATAACAGAAAAAAGAGAGAAAGAAAACGTTGTACCTATAAATGATATGAGTTGGAAAGACGAGATCCAGTTGTTCTACTGACTATTTAATAAGTTATAGGTATCACGCCTAATACTTTCTTTCCTTATCGCACAGTACACGAGCTAAGTAGGGTATGGTTGAGTTTTTGTACTTCCTAGTGCGAGTATATAGTTTCCTATATAGACTTCTGGTTCTGCCTGATGAGATACAAGTGGAGAGTTGTGGATGAAGAGGGTGGTGTGAGTTAGATAGATAGAATGGATTTAGCCCATTTTTCACATGAGTCTAAATGCCTGTCGACCAGACTATTTTATCAAGCTGGTTAAGTGGCACTTTGCTTACCCAACTGACAACCTTCAACATCCTGCGTAATAAGGCATAGTCTTTCTTCAGTAGCCCTGGAAAAACTTAGGGGGAACAACAGATAATAATGGGTAAGATGCAAGAGTTAACGAATCGTAAGAGTAAGGGTTGGGTGGGTTATTCCAGAATGTTTTAACTTCTTGATGTAGAAGGTAAGACGGAATATCTTCTTACAAATCATCAAGATATGAGACGACCAGGAAAGATAAGTAGATAGAATAGATGCCAAGGTATTTAATTTCTGACTTGGTTTCTATTTCAGTGCCATCTATGTTACACACCTCGTGAGTGCTAACCTACTATTGAGTAAGAGGTGTTAACAGAAGTTAGAATTGACTAGACATTGGTTATTCAGCCTATTTGGTTGGATAACTAATGAACTCGTCTCACAGCTTCAAAGCCTTTGATTCTATCCTTCATTGTGGGTGGGTGGGTGGGTAAAAGCGTAAGTGTTCACTGTTAAAATGTCCCTAGCTAGGTTGAATCAACTTCGTGGTATAGATGGTGATTCATTCGTATGGCCTGACTGAACAGTCTTTTATTGTTGAATGGTAGAATGAATCGTTGTTAGACTTGAGTTTTAATCTGCAGTTGACGCCACTCTTAAGCCTAATCCAGAGAAGAGGAAAGATGGATATATGTAAGGCTGACACCCCACCCCCCTTCCTGTAATTGGAATACCACTGTTGCTGAAACTCTCAGAGAAGTTCTTGAAGGTTATTTTGTTACATCTTGGTCTGATAACAGTTATTTTGATGCACACTGCTGGGTGTGTGTGTGTGTGTGGGGCAGAGTTGTACTGTTGGAGAAAAAGGGTATATAACAGCGGTAAGATTTATCCTCTGCATCAGATGACTATACCATTGCCAAGCTGTGTTGCATATCCATTCTGAAGAAGGAGACGGGGTGGATGGGTGGGTGGTTGGGTGAGTTAGAAGAAATGTTGAACCCCCCCCCCTCCAAAAAAATTATACATCTTGACTTATGCTACAGTGATCTATAGTCGGCGGTAAGATGATACCAAATTACTGGAACAAATCTAAGTACCACCAATTTTGAAAAATCCGCCCCTCCCCCACACACACAGCAACCTCCTCAATTTACTTGTGGTGGCTAGCAGTTGAATTAAGGAGAATATACATTTCATCTTATTTAGCAGTCTTGTTGTCATCTCTAATCAATGGTTATGATGATAATCTCAATGAGACTAGGAATTCCGGTATAACTGTAGAAGACCGAAAGACTTGGTAAAGGAGAATAGTTATTTGCAATTCGGTATTGCTATATAGCCCAATTTTATGTACACCTCATCTTCAACGCACACTCGCACCTTTTGTACAGATCTTCCGTGTGTTCTGCTACTTCTCGCCTTCCACTAAATTACTTGCTAATGCTCTCTCTTATTCTGTCCCACCTTATCGCTGCGTGATTACACGCAAGTAAATGCAATGCCAATGGGTTATTTAACCCACAACAACAAGGTGAGTCATAGTAGTTTTAGCCCCAATCTTGTCATTGATCTCGGTCTACTAGTTTGACTTGACTTATGTGTGCAATTGACGTGATAAACAATCACCTACATGGTATTTGGTAAATGACTAAATTGTTTTTCTTAATTAGATGTATCCAACGTGTCCTTAAGGTGGCGATAAAGTTAGTCTCTAAGTGAGTTGGCTGATTAGTTTTGATATTCACCTTAATTCTAGCTTCATTAAAGAATTCTACAAATGGCTTCTGATGTGTTCATGTTGGATAGTTGGAGGCAATCGACAACATGAAGCCGCCCTCTACCTGACCTAGATTCCGTGCTTTTTGTTGTTGGCACTCACCAGTCAGTCAGTCAGTCAGTCAGTCAGTCAGTCAGTCAGTCAGTCAGTCAGTCAGTCAGTCAGTCAGTCAGTCAGTCAGTCAGTCAGTCAGTCAGTCACAAGGCGTATCGGCAACTACTTTGAAGAAACAATTCATATCCCTTCTAAGATTTGAACCCGCGTCGTCACCCATTACCCAATACAGTTCTACAGGAGGTTAATTTTGAGCCTGAATAGCTCAGTGGTAGCGTCTCTGACCGCAGCACTCACAGGATGACGCGGGTTCGAATCTCAGATGGGACATGAGTCCCTCCAAGGTAGTTGCAGTTACGCCTTTCTGACTCGTGAGGTGGTAAGTGCCAACTAACGCGAAACTTAGTTCCAAGGTTTCCTGTAGCCGATTGCCTCCAACTATGTAATATAACCAGTGTTGGGCTCGAAACGTTGTCATCAGTAAATAATAATAATAATACTGTGTAAATTTACTCCATAATGAGTCCCACTTTTTTTGTTTCTGTGGTTTTTGACGCATTTCGCATTATTCTCTCGGTAAATAAATGTAAAATGAGGACTTCCTCAAAATTAAAATTAATTTCTTTTCTTATCTTCTATTGCTGCTGCTGTTGTCATTGTGAAGCAATTAATGCCTGGTCCACCATTTGCCTTCGGTGCTGCACTTGTCCTGTTGGCAATTATAGTATCAATGTTTATCCCTGAGAATTCATCGTCTGGCCAGTTATCACATTCAGAAATTATCACTGGTTCATCACATGATTCCACCCATGGTGGTGGTAGTCGATATGCCGGTGAGACAAGACTACGACGGAGTTCACCATCAGGTCAGCTACATCGATCTGTGTCGAATTGTGAAGCCATCCTACCTGGTGTTGGTGCTGGCCGACTAGATGACGATTGTGATAAACTCAAACTGATGATGAATTCTGCTGATGTGTACAAATACAATACGAAAGGCGATTATCCTCATGGTTATTATCAAATGTATGAAGGAGATAATGGAGGCAGTGGCGGTGGAGTCGGAATATGGGGTCGTTTAATGACAAGTCTTTCAGATTTCCGTAATCCTATCTATGTGAAACAACGACCAAATCGTGTATATCGTCAATCGAAAGGACGTTTTAGTACATTGGGAATTGTTGAACCATTTCGTCGTTTATTTATCCGGAAGACACCATACAATGCAGGTGGTAGTTTTACAGATAGTCATACAATGATTGGTTATCCAACTGATAGTGAATCACGCTTTCAGTATTCACGACTACCATTCACAGTGATTAAATCGAATAATGCCAATGATGACAAGAAGAATTTAGAGGATTTATCAAGTAAAGAGTTGTTGTTTGCAAATCCTTTATTATTAAATCGTTGTGAATCTGAAGAGGCAGCCGACTTGAGCAATTATCGTGCACATCATTTTCGACGTATGTTTACGCCTACACATCATCAGAATACAATACCGTCTCCGGCATCAATGCTAGTGACTTCCTCTTCTGTCTCTCTTGGTAGTAATAAAGACAATTTCACCGGTGATGATGATCCACAATCTATCGTGAATTCACCTCAAGATTATTCTATCAGACATACTAATGATGAAGAAGATACTTTGAACTCTGAAGATGAACTAGAAACAGACAAGGCAAGCTTATTACGTAATCAATCATCAATGTTGATGACGGCGAACAATAGTCCAACAAGAAATACTGCGATGAAACAAAAATTTTTTAGCACTAGTCATCATCATCATGAGAAATCATCAGGTACATGATGATGATGATGATGAAGAGAGAAAATAGATATTTTGAATTGTAAGTTTTAATTGATTATTTTTCAAGTATTGATTTTTTTGTTTGTTTGTTTGATTGATTGATTAGAGGATTTCATCATGAGCGCTGATATCAGAGTTAGAGAAACAACCATTTGGAAAAGCAAGCAGGGAATACTAGACAGCTAGCTAGTTGTTTCCTCAGACCAGTTTGGGACTCTTCAGCGATGCGCACCCACCACACCCACTTTTTGGTGGAACATAGGACGGCTTCAAGCTAGAAGCAAGTTTGAAGTTTCCGTAGCGCAGTGGTGATTATTTTTACAGGAGGTGATTGCTAGCCAGCCTCATGCCCAAGCTTTCCTCTTTACCAGCTTTATTACTTACTGGCTTAGCGAGGTAAAGTAGGAGTGCGTCTGTGTGGCCGGGGATCGAACCCTGGTCCACATGAGGTGTGGTTGACGGCGAGCATTCTACCACTGTGCCACCGACGCACACATCTTATCCAACCACTCTCCAGCCCAATCCACCCGTTTGTTATGAAAGCATGCATGATAGCGTAGGTAGGGTAGGTAATATACAAAGAATAATTGAGAATTTTTGTACATTGTCCGCATGTATGTCATTAAAAGGAATCATTTTGTTTCTAATCCATTTGGATCTTAGTGTCTCGAGGAGTCCAACACCTGAATATCAATGAGATTCTCACTAGCGACTTGCCCTATTCAGGTAGATAGTTACCTGGGGTTCCAGTGAGAAGTCGTGACCAGTAGGGTGAAGCAGGTCGGGTATGAGGACAAATACTCGCCATCGAAGATATTGGCTAGCGGTTGAGCTATGTCGTGAATTGGCAGAAGTTAGAATTCATCGGCCAGCTGACTATTAGATCGAGTCCCAGTTGCCCAATGATCTACGAACTCGCTAGCCTTGTAACCAGAAGGTTCTGGGTTCGAACTCTCCTGTGGTGGGTGCGTAGTGATGAAGAGACCCAAACTACGCTGACGAAATAGTTGGCTGCCCAGTACTCCCTGGCAGGTTTTCCAATGGTTCTCTAACTAATGTCAGCTCATGATGAAATCCTATAAAATCTTCTGTTAGCTAATATTGGTCGTATAACAAAGAAAGAGCTTTCAGCGAAGAGAGTTATTCTTTTTTTCGGTGTGCAGTCTGTCTTTCATCACCCGGGGGGAAACGATTACATTCTTCCTCCAATGTTAAGTGATTTAGCGACAATTGACGTTATATGTAAACTGATACACATAAGGAATGAAAATCAGTCAACAAGACTGTATGAAGCTATCTGCATGGACTATTGATGAGATGACCAGGACGGGGACACACACACAGACACATGTTATACAGCATTCTAAGCCATCACCTTTCTCGTCGAGTAATAAATACTTTATGAAAGGAAATACATCCACCGAAGAATTACTCTTTACGTGTCAGTGTATCATTTTCAAGCTGTAAAATCGCAGGTTATTTATTTTATGATCATTATCGTTCCCTTGGGTTCTGAGTGGAACATATAGCTGGCTTCAACAATACACATCTTCACTTTATTCTAGTTTTTACTGTCCTCTTCAACTGGTGTGTCCACGTCTATTCATTCGAGCGATGGCCCGCAATGAGCGTGTGACGGCCTCCTCAACGTATACCCTATCCATCTCCACTTTCTCCTACATGATTTGTTGAATGATAGGTTTTAGTTTAGGCAGTTCCCATAGTTTCCTGTTGCTTTCTTTCTTTCGGACCAGCCATCTGATCGTCAAGAGGGTGCTAGCGAAGTGGAAATGTCTTTCGTGATGCTAGCGCTGTTTCTGACCCATGTAGATGAACTGACTGACTGATTTAACATTGGTGGTGTCGAAAATTCGAATCATGTTCTTTATGCTGAGGCGGCGGAGTGCAGTGAGGAAGATTTCCAAATTTGGGTTCAGGTTGATGAAGGCGTCTGTCTTGCCTTTCTGAATCTAGCTGACTCTGACGTCTTCATCCATATGATCCGCCTATGGTCGAAACCGTGTTTCCTTAGACTGGTTACTTTTCATGTGATTGGCCATCATAAGCCTTCACGTCATTTGTTTGCTCTTCGGGTTCTCCAGTGGATGACTTCGCGTGTTTTGATATCATTTGAATGAATGCCTCTCTAACGTGTGTGTGTGTGTGTATGCCCCAGTCATTTCAATTGGTTACAGTATATTTGTTGGGCAATAGAGTTGGTCCCAAAGAGTTGCCAAAGTTACTGGCCAATTTGATCTGATCTGATCTTCAATATCGACTAGGGCATCGGTGGCACAGTGGTTAGGACTCTCGCCGACCATGCACATGGTCCGGGGCTCGAGCCCGCACCGACGCACACCTGATATCTATGGTCGGCCTGCAAAATTTGGGCTACCGATATCCATGCTGAAAATTTCATACTTGTACCAAAAATACAGCGTGGAATCAAGCTGTAAATCAAAAATAAAAAAATATTACGTCACTGTGTTTCTCTGCTGCAAGGATGTTATTTACTTCAAGTTTTTATAGAGAAGTTAATCCAGTGCTCAGGGGGGTCTATTAAATATGGAGTGTGAAGATTAAAGAACTCGCTGATGAGACTAGCTAGAGCGGTAGTGCTATGGGGGGGGGTTATTGTGAAATTGATAGAACGCAAAGGACACACACACACAGGATCCTGTCTCCATGTGACCTCGTAACCTGAAAGTCCCGAGGGGAGGGGGCGTCATCCCTGGTTGCTTCATATAGGTGCATACCTCCCCCCATCCCCATCACTCCCTGGCTTTCAGTGATTCTCTAACACTGGTGTTGTGTATGAATTCGTGATTAAATGTAAAACCTTGTTTTTATTATTTTTTTTAAATGGTTGTTAATTGCTGTTCTTTGTCGTTCTTTATTTTTTTTTGAATTAAGGTGTTGCAATAGTTCATCTTCTTCTCTGACTAACTTGGATATCGACGTGGTGGTGGTGGTGGTCAAATTCACCGCTGTTCAATGCTTTCAATGTGTGTGTGTATATGTGTGTGTGTGTGCGTTCTCATGATGTCTAACACAGTGAGCTATAAATGCAAATAAACACCTTTGTACTATTGTTACCCTTCCGTTCCTCGATCCCCACCGTCACCCACTCTCACACTCAACCTTCTCAATAACATGTGGGTTGTTTTCTTTATTTTCACTTTCTACCTCTTCTAATTCGCATATGTGTACACACTACACTGTACTCACAGATTGGTTGGTTGTTTTCACCTGATTGTTGTTTGTTTGTATGTTGGTGTGTGTGTGTGTTTCTATGACAACTTCTACGGATAAAAAAGTGGAAAAATGTGTATATTGCTCGCGTTGCTGTAATCTCTTTAATTTCTAAAGCTCTTTTCATAAATAGTTCATTTGCCTCTCATCATTGTAACAATGGTTGTATTAAGTAATAATAATAATAATTACTGTGGAAAACACACCGAGTTCCCCCCCCCACACACACACACACACTTCGCATGAGAATACCACTTACAGAAGAAAGTGAAAAGAAAATTCCCCCTTTATAATTAACCACACCCAACCCAGCCCAGACCAAACTCCACCCCGTCGCCCATTTTGTGTTTTTATTTCTTCCAATATCATAGATTTATACAGCAACTACAACAACAACATAACATTTTCTCTTCGCTTTGATCTGATTGTGATTATGTAATATGTAACAACACGCCTTTGTTATTTTGTCCTCTTGTGTATTTTTGTGTATTGTGTACGCGCGTGCGTGCATGCGTGTGAGTTAGTGTGTGTGTGTGTATGTATGTGGTCTCTTTCAGTCAACGTTTCACACACACACGCGATAACACGTGTTTGTATAATGAACAGTTTAATTCCTCCTTTGTCTATCTATCCAATTTATTTATTTAAATATTTGTTGATTTTATTTTTTTTTTCAATTCATTATACAAAGTACAAAGTACACTTTTTCGTTTTTTTTCTTCAAATTTTCCGTGTATGTATGTATGTATGTATGTGTGTTTATGTGCGTGCGTGCGTGCGTATGCGCGCACGATTGTCGGGTGTAATATTCAACGACGACATACACCCACCCACGCGCCCCGTCCATATGCACACAAATGCCAGCTAAATAACAATGTTGAGGATGCAGTATCATATTTTGCGTGTGTGCACGTGTGTATGTATCTTTGTTTGTTTGCGTGTGTGTAAATCACAAAGAGAAAATAAAACACACTTCTGATGTTTTTCTAATGACGATAAATATAAACGGCCTTCTCCTCTCCTTTCCCCACCCACCCACCCAACTCCCCACTACTCTACTTATTACAATTAAACCTGCGATGTGTTCATTGTCAGCCATGTTAGAGGCGGTTGTTTTTGCTCCTGTCAAATGTCAATATGTAAGATGGATGATAGATACACTACATACACACACACACACAGGACTGGACTACAATGACTCTTTCGTTAAGTTAAATAGTTGCTGGAGCGAGTGTGTGTGTGTTGATCAACTTTGCGGTAATTTGGAGTCCCAAACTACGCTGACGAAACAGTTGGCTGTCCAGAACTCCCTCCCAGTTGGTTTTCCAATGGTTCTCTAACTGGTGTCAGTCAGCTCATGATGAAATCCTCCATGCAGTTTGGAAAGTGTTGTTGCGCATCAGCCACAGGGGGGGGGGACTGATTACTACTTGACGAAATCTCAGCACCGATGCAAAAGGCTCGTTTGGCATATAGCCAACTTGCCCTATCTCTAGCTTAGTAGACGTGTGGTATATCCGGCTGGTTGTCATCCGAAGAACATGTGTTACCGTTCAGCAGTCTTCTCTGTTCTCCTTGATGGTTGGCTATGAAAGTCGAAGACATGAAAAAGGCTAGTTATCTTTCTTTGGTCGTAGGTGCCTGAGTTCTATCTTCTGTGTTAAGTGACATAATACAGTAAGTAATATTGAGGTTAGGCTTCAGTTGAGTGCTAGGTAAGGCAGGCAGGCAGGATCAATCGATGAAGTGGTAAATCTACATCGATTCAGGCAGTTAGAAGTTCTTAGTCATCAGTTTCTTCGACAGAAAGGATTAAGTTAGAAAAGAGCTAGTAGTTCTGATCAAACCAAAAACTTGGAATCAGCTCATAAGATCTGTAACAGTTAGTTTAAGCCAGCCACATAGAGGGAGGTGTATAGTAGTAGTAAATTGTCTTAGCAACAGAATGAATATTTCCAAAGATTTATCATTAAAATTTTTTAAATTTTAGATAGCGATTTTCATAGCGAACGTAATGACTTAGGAATCGACTTGTTACCAGGGAATAGTTTTATGGACTTAGAATATGCAGATGACATAGTCCTGTTAGGGGAGGATGATGACAAAATGCAGAGTCTTTTGAACACCTTGAGCAGCAATCTTCGTATGTTTGGCATGCGATTCACCCGTGTAAAGATGATGTAAGATGCTGCTCCAGGACTGGACCACGTCAACTCCTAACTTAGTGATAGGGAGTGAAGTGATAGGACATGTTGACCACTTCACCTAGTTGGGAAGTTGTACCAGCCAGCACCAACGGACTGATTGGCGATGAAATCTCACCACGGATCCGAAAAGCTCGAACTGCTGCTCCAGCTGACTTACACCATCTCTGGCGTAGGCGTGACATCCGGCTATCAACCAAGGGACGTGTGTACTGCTCATCAGTTCGCTCCATCCTTGTCTATGGCTCTGAAACATGGCCAATACGAGTAGAAGACATGAAAAGGTTGACTGCTTTCCATCATAGATGTCTACGATCTCTTTCTCAAGTTAATTGGTTTACTAAGGTAAGTAATGTTGACGTTAGGAGGCGTAGAGTGTTGGGCAGGCAAAGAGGGAAAATCAATCGACGAGGCTATAAAGTTACATAGATTGAGATGGCTAGGTCACGTCAGGTGGTGTGCATGCCTAACCATCGCCTCCCCCACTTGATGGGCATTACTCGCTGATATAGGTGGTGCAGGTTGGAAAAGAGTAAGTGGTGGCCAAACAAGAACATGGCCTCATCAATCCATGAAATCAATCCTTGACAGTTAAACTGAGTCGGTCAGGTAGGGAGATTCAGACTTCCGTCCGGGTTGGGGCCCTCGGGACTGACTCTAGGAATCAATCAATGGCTGGAGACAATAGGTGGTGACATGGCTCAAAATTGTTGTCAATGGCCAGCTCAGATGTATTCAGTCTCTGTAATCTTACATATTCCTCCTTTCTACCATTACCCATTCTGTTTCACTCTTATACTTGTCAAACTCTATTGATTCTCTTCACTCATCTTCTTGTCTACTTCTGTGTGGTATTTAGAAGGTGGCAACTGGAACTGGTGCACTTCGGTGGCAAGTTCTATGTTGAATCCAGACAGACAGACAGACAGACAGAGCTCAACTGGAATTAAAATTAAGCGAAAGTCAAGTTGAAAACAGTGGCAATAAGCGGTGGGGGGCGGGGGAGAAAGAAAATATTATACAATTATGAAACAAATAAAGCAAGAAAAAGACGAAGACAGGAATTACGTATTTGGTGTTAAGATAGGTCTGTCAGGTCGACTGTAGATCTAATGACTGAATAAACCCGTTTTCTTCTATGTTACAGAGTTAGTTGGAGGATATAACATGTGAATTTTTCATCGCTTCTGCGATTTGAAGAAGATTCTTGGATATTCTGTAGATGACTCTGTGAAATTGGTTTGGGAAACGGGTTAGTTTGGTGTTCATATTCCATCAGGTGTCCCAGGATATAGAGTTGCTGTGGTGGTGGGCGGGGGGCTACCTTTTTTCTCCTTTATTAAACCATGACTGTAGGTAAGTATTCGATGATACGTTTGAATAGCAAAAGATTTATATAGCCGACATATGTAGCTCTACAGCAACAACAGGTGAATTGATAGATGCATATTGATGAGGCAGCAACCAAGTAGTGGTGGTAGCTTATCCTTCGCATTCATACGAATCATTTGGAGTTAGCAGCAGACTGTTTAGTCATCGATAAATATAAATTTATTTTCAGGTCTAGAAGGGTGCTGGGGATAATAATTACGGAATTCACGGCCAGTTAATTTGTCTAGATGTTGGCAACAAGTCATTACGTAATCAATAGTTTGTAAAATAACAAGGATGACTAAGAACAATGGATAAGTGAATTACGTAACAGTACTAAGATACAAATACGTTAGTAATTAATTGAATTCGCTAGAATAGCAATCATAGTAAAATAAAAAATTACAGTATTATATATTATTATTATTCTTTTGTGTTCGGAGTGGAATGTAGGGCTGGCTTCAGTAACACATCTCCACTTTGTTCTGTTTTCTGCTGTCCTCTTCAGCTGGGTTGACGATTGACCAAATTCTTTCATCTCTTCGTCACCACACGATTTCCTCCATGTTGCCGTCCATGTGATAACCCACTCGTCACTTCTCAATTGGCTTCTGCTCGAGTGATGGCCTGTATTACGCACGATGTCATTCGACGACATCCTCTCAATATATGCCCGATCCATCCGTCTCCACTTTCTCTCCTACAATTTTGTTGAGCAATTGGCTTTTGGCTGGTTTGTTCCTAGTCAGAGTTTCTTGTTGCTTATTTCTTTCTGGTCATTTGATCTTCAGTATATGGAGCCAGCCAGCCAGCGAAGGTGGCAACTGTTGATGAAGATTTGCAACCTGTCGGAAATCGTTTTCGTGACACATTGGTGAAGTTTCTAACTTGACTTTTGTGTTGAAAATCCGAATCTGTCTGTCTGTCTGTCTGTCTGTCTGGATTCAACATAGAACTTGCCACCGAAGTGCACCAGTTCGAGTTGCCACCTTCCAAATACCACACAAAGGTACACAAGAAGATGATGAGGGGAGAGAATCAATACAGTCTGACAGGTATAAGAGTGAAACAGAATAGGTAATGGTAGAAAGGAGGAATATGAAAGATTACAGAGACTGAATACATCTGAGCTCTGGCCATTGACAACGATTTTGAGCCATGTCATCTATTGTCTCCAGCCATTGATTGATTCCTAGAGTCAGTCCCGAAGGACCCAACCCGGACGGAATTCTGCTTCTCCCTACCTGACCGACTCAGTTTAACTGTCAAGGATTTATTTCATGGATTGATGAGGCCATGTGTTTTTGTTTGGCCACCACTTACTCTTTTCCAACCTGCACCACCTATATCAGCTAGTAATGCCCGTCAAGTGGGGGAGGCGATGGTTAGGGATGCTCACCACCTGACCTAGCCATCTCAATCTGTGTAACTTTATAGCCTCGTCGATTGATTTTCCCTGTTCGCCCAACACTCTACGCCTCCTAACGTCAACATAACTTACCTTATTAATTAAACCACCTACCGTGAGACAGAGATCGTAGACATGAATCGTACTGTTTTTTGCTGAGCACTGTGAAAATGATTTTCAAACTGGTTACAGGTTGATGAAGGTGTACCTTTGTTATGTTGCTGCTGTTGAGTGGTTAATAGTGGTTTTCCCCGTCGCCAAATTGTTCTGTTGCTCGTCGACAAATTGTTGCTATGTACTGGTCGAGAATGTAATAGTCCTGACGCAAGAAGGCGGAAATCAGAAGACCACTAGGTTTGCGATGATACTTCTATTTCCAAAAACAAAGAGAATGCAAAAGTGGTATCACACCAAAGTAAGTAAGTAAGTAAGTGTAAGTCACAAGATTGTGAGAACGAAATATATACATGACCGTCCAGACAAAGCGTGTGAACAAATCATTAGACAGTCTTAACATGAATGGCTAATTATAATGGAGTGTCGATCCATATATACATAGCAAAATATAGCAGACATGTCAACAACAACCATATATGGATATATGTCACCAAGCAACGGACTGTCAACAAACACTTATATTATATATAATATAATATAAGGAGAATATACATTGTTAAAGGAGACAAGTTCATACAAGTGAAATGGTCACAGACTAAGCGAGCAAACAGAAAGAGAGACCAACATGCACACACACACATAAATATATATATGTGGATACATATCAACCTTCCTTTTCGGATTCTGGCTGGCTGGTTGGCTTTTGACATCTTCATTCGTGCCGTATGCCTGTGGTTGAAACGATGCTTCTCAGACAGGTGAGGGAAGCAATCTCTGTCAAATCTCTCCCATTGATTGAGATTGATGCTGGCTGTTTTAATTGTTACTGTTGTTGATTGTTTGTCCTTGATCGCCTATGTCTTCTCTCTCTCTCTCTCTCTGTTCACCTGAAGTCGTGTTTTTTACCACCAGCCTCTTCAGCTAAGTTTGTTGCTTTTCGTACGCAAATCTTTGAGTTTGTTTGACATTAGACGTATATCATCATCT